CAACCAGAATCATTACTTTTAATTTAATATACTCAACCTTCGGAATTAGGAAAAATGAGGTCAGCAATAACTTGCCAACCTCAAACACTTTTAGATCGGCAGTTAGGTTGGCATTGTTGAATGCCGACCCTAATTTTGAGGGTTGTATATTGCTGGTTATGTTCAAATGGCTATGATTATATTGATACTCGGTTTTATTATAAAAAAAGTAGTGCCTACATTGTTGACTATAATAGAGGAAATCTTGTTATTCCATTGACAATTTTGTTCAATGGTGCATATTTTGTTTAGTTTTATTTTAGCAATTATGAATTTTGTTGAACATTTAATCTGTATAAAACAAGTTTCAATTTGGTATTTAAGATCAACATTGCTGCACTTTAGCAAACATATTTGTAAGAAATCTAGCAATATTAAAACCTCCAAGATGCTCCAAGGAGGCAAAAAGTTTTAAAACTGTCATGAAAATGAGCCTTTATTTAAATTTTATTATCTTATATAAGAAGTAGTTTATTAATTGTAGAAATGGTTATGTAAGTTTATTAATTGTAGTTTTACTTTTAAGACAGCTTTTATTGTTATTATTATAGTTTTTTGTCCGTATCCACTTTAATTCTTCGCGCTTCGCTTGACCTTTAGTCAATAAAAATTTTGCCGCGGTGTCAAGGTCTGTATTTCTAGAAGGCCATGGTGCACCCTTATCACTAAAGGGGATGGGGCATTTTTGAATATCTATTAAAATGGCCTAAAAGTTACTGAAAACTGTCAAATTATATAAAAAAAAGATTTGATTGAATATTTATAGTACTTTACAATTTTTTTCTTGATTTAAAGACATTATTGATTAATAAACGGCAAAAAGTAAAGATTTTTTTTTTTGCTAAATTTGAACTATTTAAAAATATTGTTAGCAAAAATAAAAAACTAATAATTTTAAGGTCATAACTTTCACCGCTTTGTTTAAATAAGTGCTTTCAAGAGTTGAGTCTCACTCACCACAACTTTGCAACTTTTGACTTTATAAATCAATAACTTAAAAAATGAAGGGGGGGGAGGGGGTTAACCTGTAAAAATATGGAATGGTTTTTTTAAAATAAAAATAAAAAAAGGTTCTTAAAAACTAAAATTCACCCTAAACCCAATTAAAAGTCAAATACCACTCAACCAAGTCAAATACGAGACTAGCCAACTAAATTTGTCAAAACATCAAATATAACTTGAAAATCACCTTCCTTGTGGTAGTAGAGGTGGAAAGGTACCCCTTTCCGCCACACCCTTCCTTTAAAATCATCTTTGTAAAGCATGTGATCGTTAAATACAGAACGATGAATTTTATTTTAAAACTTGTCACTGATATGTGCATAATTACATCAAGTAATGATATTATTAATTAAAAACAAACAAATGAAATAAAATATTTCTCTTCATTAAATGTCATTGAAAACATTAGAAAAACAAAACAAAAAAATTCTACACAACTATCTACAAAATCTTTCATCGTTATTTTAAATCGCTAAAGCATCTTTATCTAGCTAAACTACTTGTTATATGGTCATAAAGTGATACTCTATCTATCGAACAAGCAAAATAATTGAGAAGATAATTCGACAATCATTCACACAAAATCCCGGCTTATCGAACAGAAAACGAAATCACGAAATCCCGGCTTATCGAACAGAAAACGAAACAGAAAATCCCCTTTAGTTTTTTGATAGGAAAAGTTGAGAAATTTTAAAAATTTCAAGTCTTATCAAACCATTAAATATTCAAACTGATCAGATAAACAATCACTAGCTGCTTGAAAACTTTATGACTAAGTGCTTACAAAAATTAATCTTTACACATAAAAAATCTTTGTTTCTTTAAAACACTACAAAAACAATACACAATAAAACTTAATAATCTAAAAAAGACTTTGTTATTTGCATTTAGTGAATATTTTACATCGCAGTTGAGAGAGGTAAAAGCTAGAAATATGTTATACACAAGCTTAATGAGCAAGCTTACTCGGAAAACATCTACTTTTTTTTGTTTCACAAAAGTAAAAGTAACAACTTAAGAGTTTTATTGCTTTTTTAAAAAAATGTGCAATTCTTAAATTGACTATAAAAATTTGACAAAAAGCATTATATATATATATATATATATATATATATATATATATATATATATATATATATATATATATATATATATATATATATATATATATATAACATTCAACTTAATTTGTAGCAATTTTTAATTTAGTTCTTAAGATAAAGCTCTTTAAAATCACAAACAAAAATACCCATTTAGGTATGTCATTGGGGAAAAAGATTAAATGTCAGATTTTAATTATTCTTTGCTTTTCAAAACTTATCTTAAAAAAATTGAAGCATAAAACCAATATTTACAAAAGCTACTAGTTATTAAAAACAATGAAAAAAAACCTTTTTGCTTTATCTAAAATAACCCACTATTTAAGCTTTCTCAAAAACCAAATTAGATATTTATCTGAAAATTGAAAAACATGCTTTCCTCATATATATGTACAAAATCAAAAAGTATCAGCAACAAAAGTGGACGGTTCATGATTAGGGTTTTCAATCGGTTTTAACCAATAACTGAAAATTGCGGTTTTTAGTCAAAACCGATATAAATGAAAACTGTCGATTTTCAAAAACGATTATGGCAGTTTTTTTGTATGTCTTTTGAATGTTAGTTTATTATAGAAAAGTATAAACAATCAAACTTGTAAGTAATTAAATTTTAATTTTATTATTTAGATAGTATTTTGCTGGAAAGCGTAACATCTTTTTATTTTTTAAATTATTCAAGTACTCAAAAAAAAAAAAAATTCAGCTTAACGCATGATGAATACACATCTTTGAGGCACAGAAGGTACATTGGTGTTAACATGCATGAAAGCGAATGTAAAAAATCCTCTAATACTGGCCTCATTAGGATTTATGGTTCCTGTCCAGCTGAAAATTTAATACAAAATATTAAGGATCATTTGAATTCATTTGGTGTCTGTATGGAAAGAGATGTAGTAGGTTCTACTCATGATGGTGTAGCATTCAACAAGAAGCTCATGCAGTTAACGGATATCGTTGATCAGTTTTGCTTTAATCATGCAATTTATCTTGGTTATACAAAAAAAAAAAAAGACATAAACGTAACAGCTCCTAAGAAAACAGACAGCAATCCAGTAGAGGATGAACACTGAATTTACAATGATAATTTTAGTTTTGAATCAGTAAACAATGAGATTAATGTTGACTATCCTGAAATTTTGATAAATACACGATAAGTAGTAAAATTCATAAAAATGTCATCAGAAAAAAGTTATTGAGTAATTTGGTAAAGAAATCAAACTGCATCTCAATGGTCGTCATTGTTGGAACTCACTTTTTTCAATAACTGTGCCTTTGTTAAAAACTAAGAAATTCTTATTCTAGACATTTACGGAATTAAATGCTCTTGATGTAATCAACAAGCTAAATTTTGAGTCATTAGCTTCATTACATGCCGCCAGCAAAACTAGCAGCGGAATTCTTGGCAGAGAAGATGCAGCATTATCGACAGCAGATACTGTTCTTGAATTCATGCTTTCAAAACTATTTGCTATGAATACAGAAATTGCATCTTTATTGCTTATCAATTTAAAAAAGCGTATCAATGAAAGAATTAACGGAAATGTTTTGCAGTTGTTGAAGTGCCTTAAAGATCCTTCAGTTGCTCCATTAAAAAATACTTTAAATTTTGCTGGAAAACTTGCGTTTAGGCTTTTGGATTTACTTCTAATGATGAGGAATCACTACTAGCTGAAGCACCATGTACAACATTAAAAAGTTCACCTGTTTCTCTTAAGGATAAATTAAATGCACTTTTCAATAAAGATAGCATCACATACTTGCTTAAATCTACTGATCAATTTAAATGCTTAAGCAAGAGTTTTTGTTGTACCGAAATACAGTAAAAAACAGAAAATCTTGAAAAAATTTACAATGTGATACTCTATATAAAGACCACCTCATCAATGTCGAACGCATTTTTTTCAAGCTGCACTAGTTTCTGCACAAAAATCAGATCAAGATTATCTAATGAATCATAGAAATTGTTTCTTAAAAATTTTTTTTACAATAAAAATAAGTCATTGTAAGTTTTACTTTGAAATATAAACATAATGTTAGAACACTTTGTTTAAATAACTTTTTTGATAAATAATGTAAGATAAACTTACATCAGTTTTATTATTTAACAAGAAAAACCAAAAAAAAACGGTTAATCACATTTTTTTTTTTTTAAATTAAAACTGAAACCGCGGTTTTTTGAAAACCCTATACATGATGGTCTATCTTAATGTCTTTTTGGTTCACTTGACACAGAATGACCCCATTCTCTTTTTCATTTTTATTAACAGCTGTTATCAAGAGTTTTTGTTAGCACTGAAAAAAGCAGTTTTTTGAGTTTTAAATTATGTTTTTATGTTCTAATACCCAAATATATTTAGGAATAAAAAAATCATTTTAATTTTATTTTAGGTTTCTCTCTTGAACTAGCACTCACTCTAATATCAAAGTTTCAAACAAGCAACCATGTTGTTTATCAGTTTCAAATAAGCACCCAAGTTGTTTATCAGTTTTGAATAAGCACCCATGTTGTTTATCAGTTTGAGAGAACTTAAAAATAGAGAAAATATTCAAAACATAAAAAAGCACACTTATTTTAAGAGCTTATTACTTTGAAATTTTTATGTATTAAATTTAATTAAGTTAAAACTAAATTATTACTATTTTAGATATTAATTTAATAAACACTGCTTATCAACATAAAAGAAAACAAATTTAAAATTTCCCATTTTTAATTTCATTAAAATAACTTAAAAACTAATATGAACACAAAATGATCAAATAAACATATATACAAAATGAAATAAATACACAAAATAATGAAATAAACATATAAATGTAAATGTAAAACTATTGCTTTAAACTATTTCAAAAAAATATTACCGACTCATCTAATTTTGTGGCAGCATTTAACTGTTTACTAGGTGTACCCTGGTTAAGAGCTTGTCCAAATTGCAATCCTCTACCTTTTCCCCTTCCAACACCTTTATTTTGATTAGACAAAGGTGAACTAGCAGAGGAAATAGAATAATCAGATTCATTACTTGATTCAGTTTTTGTAACTTGCTGAATATTGAACTGTTGGATATTTGATTGTTGGGTAGATAATTGTTGGATATTAGGTTGTTGAATATTTGACATTTTATTATTTGTCTGTTGAATGATGGAAACATTAGATTGCTGAAAATTGGGATAAGCAACATCTGTTTGGTTTTCTTTTTTGATTTTAATTCTTTCTGGGGTGCTGAGAAAAACATTACCCATTAATTCTGATTGTTGTCCAATTGGAAATTTTTCAGTGCTAAGAACTGATGAATTTAATAAGGATATATAACCAAAATTGTATTGAGAACTGTGAACTGGAGAAAATGGCTCCTAAACAAAATAAACACTAATAAGTAAAAATATATATTTATACTAAATATATTTTTATATAGATATACATTTACCAACCTTTTTTTGCCAGAATAAATCTATACAATTTAAAAAAAAAAGAAAAAAAATAGAAAAATGAAAAAAATTTAAATGTCTCTCTGTTATATACAGTATACTCATTGATTGATCAATGAGTATACTGAAGCCCTCAGTATATTCTTTGATTATGTATGTATGTATGTATGTATGTATGTATGTATGTATGCATGCATTCATGTATGCATATACGTATATAAAAAACAAATAAAAATATTACAATTGTCTAATAAATCGCAATCTAACAGGATATACTATAATTTTATATACTATAATATATAATTTTACAAAAAGTCAATTAGTTATTTGAAATGTATTTATTTATATATATATATATTTTTTTTTGTTTACACTTTTGTTAAAAAACAGAAAAGAACAGTTTCTTCTCAACTAATTGTCTCAGATTTGACAGCTAACGCTGCTTCTTTGGCTGGTTTGCATGGTGGCATGGCTTTAGTAGAAATATAATGAGTAAGATATCTTGTTAGTTAGCTCTGTTCCAAATTTTAAGTTAAGTCTTTTTTTCATCATTAAACAAACCTTTAAAAGGTTCTTCATTGATCATTCTCTCTTCAGACATGCTTACTCTTTCCATTATTGCTCCCTTGGTTTTCTTACTTTCATAGGATCAACTGCTAAATAGGACATACCAGGTGTCAAATACCTTACTTGTAGAGGAGAGCAGCCAGCTGTCCTCTGTAAACGGTTTATTCAACTGAAACTATTGGTTTTCAATAAACTGTATTTGTTACCATGCTGAACATATAGCATAAATATAGTAAACCACATTGAACATATAGTGTGTTTGTGTGTGTGTATATGTATGTGTGTGTGTATATATATATATCTTTTTAAAATTCTTTTTTAGAGATTTTTAGAACTTTAGCACTTTTAGAAATTCAGGTCGGTAAAAACTCTTGTGAAAACTTAACAACAACAACGACAAAAATACTTTATAGTTTTAAAATAAAAAACTAGCTTTTATTTTTACTTTAGTTATTCTTTTATTTCTTTATTTAATTCATTATTTTAATTTAGAGTAGGTTGAGGTAATCCAAGCTTATTTTAAGCTATTTCTGACTTTAAAAAAAAAAGTATAGTATTTGCTTATTGAAAAAAAAAAATTACTTAAAACCATGATTGGACTATTAGGCTATTATGAAAATTTACCAAAAAACATCAACTTAAATATTCTGAACAGATTTAGGAAGCCTATATATAAGGCTTTCTACACAGATGGACATTACTCCTCCACACACTGTAGTAATGTGGGACTATGTAAAATGTGGTCTCTTCTGCTTTAAAATACTGCTTCTTATGAGAAATTTGACATTCTTTATGCAAGCATAATATTTCAAGAAAAAGTTGTTTATTTGGCATAACACCATTTAAGATGATGTAAAATATTTATTATTTTAAAATTATAATCTTACAATTATTAATTAACCGTAGTTGCCACCTAATTTGATTGGTTGTTGTAAATTTCAAATGAGATTGGCTGTTTAATATTATTAATTGATACTATTGTGTCACTTCTGCTCCAAGTTGCATTATTAATTTTGTGAAATTGATTGAAACTAGATTTCAGAATAACTGCTAAGATGAGAACTTCATAAATTTTTTAAAACTATTTATCTGGCGCTTGTTGTATATATTTTAAATAGATTTTTGTCCAAGTAGAATATTGTGGGGTGATTTTGCCACAGAATGATAAAATAGTCCCACATTTAAAAAAAAATACATAATGTACAATACTTTTGCTCTCAAAACAATATTTAATATTAATATATATTATTATATAACAATTTTATAAAATCATTGGACATATATTAGGAATTATAGTATGATAAATTTATTAGAAGTATTTTGAAGATATAATAAATCAATAATTTTTAGATATACATTTAAAACTAAAATACTTTATAATTTAACTTAAAATTAGTTTTCTTAAATTCTCCTAAAATTTTGTATTTGAAAATATCATTTGTTCCAATTGAATGCATTTCTTATATTTGCATTTCTTATCATTAAATGCTCACCATCGCTGATTGTTTATAGCCACTACACCGATTAGCATGTTTAAAATACACCATTTTAAAATCCAAGCATCGATATTTAAAAAGATAGTAATTATGCTAGAGGGTAATAATTATTTTGTTGCATTTTTAACGTAAGTGTCAAAATCTAAAACTTGCTGTATATTACCTGTTTCAGATAGAACCCAAGTATCACCTAAAAAAAAATTCTATAGTGATACCAACCTTCACTTGGCTATTCAAGCTAAAGATGGCGGTAAAATATTAACGGTAGCAAAATCATTTGAAATACTGAGATTAATGCTACAAGATAAGATAAATGGATGTCAACAATCAAGCTCTGTGGAAGGAAAAACAATGTTTACAAAGCAACAAGAACAAGCACTAGTAAACAGGCTTTTTTACATGGCAGATCATGGATTTCCATTGACAAAAAAAGGTTGAGGTATAATGCTTGTTTATATGCTAAAAAATTACATCGTTGTCAATTACTTCAAAAAGATTTGCTCACTACATGCCATAAATCTCGCTTAGATTACTCACTTAGATAAAAATAGAAAATCGCAGGATGTGTTTTCCACTCAAAGTGACTCATTGAAGTTCTTCATCAAAAAAAAATTTTTTGCACAAATAAAGGCATATGGCTCAAAGAAGAGGAAATCCCATACTTTAAAATCATTATTAAATCAAATACTAAAAGTACATCAAGCTTAATAAAAACAGCAAAAAACAACTCACTGCTGTGTGTGCTGTGTGGTATAAGTGGATTCATCAGAAGACTGGCTCCAATGCATTTCTTGTCATATATGGGCATGTGAAGTCTGCTTTTGCATTGACATGTGCACAGAATGTGATTAATTTAACAAAATATAATTAAGCTTAAACTCCTTTTATATTGGCGAAATCGCCCATAAAAGGCAAAATCATACAAGTGTCATATAATCAAATAATCAACCCCATATAAGTGTGTAATACAAATCGGTGTTCATGAGTATAAATAATTCATTTCTTTTTTAATTTTTAAACAGGGTCAAACTAAATATAGCTTATTTAATATTATTCAGTTAATGGTATACAGAAAAAGCGTATCAGGTTGAACAGACAACAAAAATGGCAAAATTGCCCCGGTCTATCCATGTAAACAAGAACTTTAATATAAAAATTATTTTAAATAAAAAATAATTGTTTGTTAAAAATCTGTCTTTTTATGATCACATTTATATTATTTTGTGGTAAACACTTCTGCAGGGGTAATGATTTGCTTTTTTAACACTTGTTTCTTGTAAAAGTCAACTTAAACTCTAGATCTGTTTGTTCTTAAAATAACTGTTTTTGACTTTCTCGTTTTTTAGGAGTTTTCCACATTTTTCTTGTACTCTTTCTCCTTTGTTTTTCTTGTTCTATTTTGATGGTTTTTCTGCAGATACATTAGGATTTATGATTTACCTTAGGGGTTATCCATAAATTACATCACGCTCTAGGGGTGGGGGTGGGGGGGTTCTGTGGATAGATGAGTTGTTTGGAGACAAATTGTTCATGAGTTGTTACTAAAAAGTTATGATGTTGTGATGAAGGGAGGGGGTCAAAAATAGTCAAAATTTGTGTGACATTTATAGATGACCCCTTAAAGCTTTTGGTGTAGCATATCTTGGCATTTGCAATCTTGGAGATTTAGAGCTATCATACTCAGGTGAATTATAGAGAATTAATACCTGTTGTTCTTTTTTCCATCTTATCTTTATTTAGTTGTGAGATACCTGCACTATGAAATACTGAATTAGCATTTGCTAGTGAGTGTCCAACACAACTGCTTCAATTTCAATACTTTTGTTTAGTGTTTCTATTGTAAATCTCTTTAAAAAATTTTTCCACTTTTGCTTTAATTATGTAACGACAAGCACATTTAATGGTTGTGATGCATGTAAGAAGTTAGTTGTCCATGGCTGCTTTTAGGATACCATAACAGGCCTTGCGATAAAGCGTCGGGCAATGTGAATTTTATGTCGTCCAAGAGCGATTTTGCATGTAGCTAGAGCTATTTGCGTTGAGCAAAAAATTTTTTGTTTGAGTATATTTAAAGATATTTTTGAGCAGAATTTTAATGAAGTAATTTTCGATTATTTTAACATTTAATTAAGTATTTTAAAAACCGCACGCAGTTGATATAAAAGTTTGAATTAAAAAAAAATTAAATATGCTCATTATTTACAAGTAGAAAAAATTCAGATTAAAAAAAAAGTTTAAATCTTTTTAAGCTAACATTTTAATAAAATTATTCAGCAACAGCTTATTAAAATTATTAATAAAATTATTCAGCAATAGTTGTCGATAAAATTGAACAAAAATACTCTCTTTTAGTTTTAGATTTTTAACTTAAATAATTATTTTACGGGGGTTTGTTAGGTTTTAAAATTATTCCATTGATTTAAAAATATTTATTAACTGTTAGATGTATTTAAAGTATTCAAGAGTAATTTCGAATAAACTTTTTAAAAGTTGGTAAGCGCAAATAAAAAAAAATAAAAGGATTAATATTAAAACGTATTCTACTTGATTCAATAAAAAAGTACAGCTATTAAAACTTTTGTAAAAAGTAACTCGAAAAAAATTACTTAAATAATAACAATCGCTTTTTTGTTAAAAGTTACCGAAACTCAACGAAGCGTGCTCAAGAACAGCTGCTAAAAAATAGAACGTCAATAGTTTTTCGAATAATTTTTAATAATAATTTTTAAGAATAATTTTTTCGCTGAAATATGTCTTTTATACCTATAAGATTTTTATTTTAAGATTTTATTTTATTTTATTTTAACAAAAATAAAATTCCTTGTAAACATTAAAAATCTATTCAAAACGTTTGTTAAAGTTTTTAGTAATACGAGTGATTGTGCTTATCAACCGCTTTATGAAAATAAATAAAAATAAATAAATAAAAAAATATTATATAAAATCGCTAGTAAAAATATTAGCTATTGCACAGTTTTTAATCGTACAAAATTAAAACTTCCAGTTTATTACTCGTTGACTTTTTAAAAAGAAAAAAGAAATATTTGAAAAACTTTAAATTACATATTTGAGAAAGAAAAAATCAAATATAAGCATATTTTATAATCATTTTTTAAATGTTTAGTTATGTTTTTTATTCGTTTAGTATAGACAAAACGTGTCAAACGTCAAGAACATAAACAAATGTTTTTAGATTTTAAAAAACGAAACATTTTAAAACATTTTTAAATAATAACATTTCAACATTAATTTAAAGTAGTTTTGCGGTAATTAAGTAAATTGGTGCAGTTAATGTCGATAAATATGAAAAGCAAATAAAAAGAATTTAATGACGTCAAAAATCACGTCGTGCTTATGCATCGCGCAGTTTTTATTCATCACAAGGCCTGCCATAAATTATATGGCTACCATGACCATTATAAATCAAGAGTAATGATTTTAGATTTTGGGCAACAAATGGCATAAAGTGCACTACAAACCATATTTTTGAACCATATTCACACAAATATATATAAAAAAAGGTAAGAAAAAAAAAACTTTACTCTTACTACCTCTCATACTTTTAAATCTCTCACTCAGATAACTTTGTGACTTGCTTTCCAAGACAACCTTAATCACTTATCTTTACTTCTTGATTATATAGTCTATATTCTTGATTATATAGTGTATAGTCTTTTAAGGTTAGGTTCTAAAGACTGGAAACAAAATTTATATCTTTAACAATAGCCAGTCTAACATTTCATCTCTCTTGAATGGGTCAATTTTGTTACCTTTTCCAAGAATAAGGCCAAACTATTTGAAAGAACTTGTTTCCTTTTAACTCATCTTTTGATGATAAGTAGAGTGTGGTCATTAAATGACCACACTTATCATTCCAAAGGAATAGATCAATTCACTGTTAATGCACTTGTTGCTTCTTTATTTTATTAAAGTTAATTTTTCCTTGAACTCCTTTACAACTTGTAGTCTGTACAACATTCCTGTCACAGTTTTAAATAAGTGTCTTTTCAGAAGTCTCCTTGCAATATTAAAAACTTGCTTTTTCCTTAAGTTCAATTTATATAGTATATCTTGGAAAGTTTTAATAACAATTGAATCAATACTTTTTGATAACAGTATTTAACTCCTTCATGGATAACACTCTCCATTATTTCCAGTAACTTTTGGGGCATTACAAAGTTCCATTATTTATCCTGCTCCTTATCTTTAATGATCTTTCTCGTAATTTTACTTCTTAATTGGCTCTATTTTCTGATGACACAACTATATACTCCTAGTTGTTTGTAGTCATATTCACCAGCCAATTTTTAATAAGATCTCTTTTCTCTGACAGCAGTCTTTCTCTTTTGTACACTACCATAGCTGCTAGTCAAACAAGGTATGATTACTTGTTACATCAAATAATACTCAATTTTAGGTGACATCATTCATCTAATTTGCATTTTTTACTGTAACTGTTCTTTCATGCTCAAACTTTTATCTACCTAATTTTTCTTGCCAAACATTGGTGCTTTAGAATTCACTCCCATTTAAACATTATTTTGACTCATACAATTTTTATACATACAATTTTTTGAATTTTGTGTCAACTGCTTACGTGCTCCCTTAGCTTTTATGATTGCTTTTTGTTAACTTCTATGTTAAAAAATTAGTTATTTGTAGCCTAGTTAAAATTAAACTCCTTAAAAAAAATTAAATTGGATACAAAAACAAATAACATGAAAATATATATGCATTTTGCATTATAAACAAATAGAAAATAAAAATTGTAAATACAAACTAAAAACCTGTTTTAAAGGAGTCAATTGATCTTGCTTTATTTCTAATTTAGGCTACAAAAAATAAATTTTTGTAATAATAAACAGTAAACATAAGATTACAAGTTTTTTTATTAACTCTTATAACACCTAAATTTGTTACAACTCCCAATAAAAATCTTGAAATAATTTATATCAGTGGGCATAGTAATAAGGTAATACTTTGTGGCATTTTTTGTAAAATACTTATAAAAATTAAAAAAATAAAATTTTTTTAATAATTACACGGTAAATTTAAATAATTACATTCTTATTTCAGTTTTTAGATTATTTTATCTGATTATTTTAAAAGAAAAACTAATAACAAAATAAATCAAAATCTATGTGATGCTGACAATTATTAAAAGCAATTTGCGCAAATAAAACATTTTGTTTTTATTTTCTTTTTAACTAAAGCTTAAACTAAAACAAAAAAAGTTAGTTATTTCTTGGTATGTATTTTTTTGTTTTAATCTAAAAATTTTAGCATAAATGTTTTTTTTTTTAAATCATTCTCTTTAACATGAGCAAAATGTTTAGAATAAAATTTTTTATTGGTTTGGTTTGACCCTCTGCGCAGTGTTCATCCACTGATAATTCAGTCGCCTGTAAGTTTCTATTCATATACATGTATGTTCAGTCGTTTGTAAGTTTCTGTTTGTTTATTTATTATTAGTTTTATTAACTTTGATAAGTATTATTTTTTTAAATTTCATTGAAAATGCAGTTGTTGTTGAAAGTCTTTTTTTCTAAAATTTTTTTATAAAATTGATCGTATTTTAATAAATAAACATTTTTAAAAGATTTACATTTAAAAAACCTTCCCGGGAAGCGTGTGAGGTCGCACACCTTGTTCGTCTGACCACGGCAGTTTGCAACTTATAAAGCATTTCAATATTTCCTTTATATACTGACTAAAAAAAGTTGCAAGAAAATTGTGAATCAAAAAATATTTTTATTTCATTATATTCTTGTCTACTTTTTTCCTCAACTTGTATCAATTTTGGTAGTGGAAAATAACAAACACTCTAAAAATAAGAAAACAAAAACAGTAAATATTTAGTTATATTAATTTTTTGACAACCATTTTCTTTTTTTCATTAATAATATTTTTTAACTTATTTTATTTGGATTTTCTATTTTGTATAGTCTTTGGTTTTTTTCTTTGAGCATTGCTGATTTATTCTCTAGTTTTTTATACCTTTATTTTGCCGCAAATTCTTAAAACGCTTACTATATAAAAACGTGGTCAAGTTGTCTAAAAAATTACTTAAAGCATGGACGTACAAGGCGTGTGGCCGCACGCGCTTCCCGGGAAGGCTTGATTTAAAGAATAAAAAATTATTCTGTATTATTATTTATATCATTATTTATTATATTTCTTAATTAAAACTTAACTTTATATAATTAAAAAAAAAAAAAAATGCTGACAAAATACTTTAAGTGTATGTTCCTTCATCTTTTAACCAATGACCTAAAACACAATAACTTTTTATTTTATAGAACCACAGCTTAACAATAGTATCAAAAAGATTTTTTTGAGATTTTTATATTTAGAGATAACTGATTCAAAAATTAAGGTCATTTTATAACCTAAATATTTTTGAAAGTATTTAGTGTTTTTCTTGATTTAATAACAAAATCAATTATAGCATTATATTACCTTAATAGTGTGCATAAGTTTGAATGGTTAGCGTCTCACAAAAAATATGCCTCCCACTAAAAAGTTAACTTGTAAGAATTTTTTTTTTTCTTTCTTTTTAAAACTTAACTTAGAAATTTTTATGAAAAAAACAGCTAGAAATAAAATATTTAAAATATGTTTATTTTTTTGTAAAACATTACCATTAAATAACATACTTTTAAAAAAGTACTGCTGCAAACTTATTATGTCAAAAGTAGGTTGTAAGCTAGCCATTACAATTTCAATTACTATAGTTTTTATAATCAATATATTCTTATTTTTATAATAACGGTCTTGTTAATTGTACTTTTGTAAAAGAACGGACGTGATGTAAACCTTGATGTAATTCTTAAAAACATTAAACTGCTAAAAACATCAGAAGTCATACAAAAGAAATCATAAATTTTGTTTTTTTTAAATTGCATAACTTTTTAACTAATAATAATATAAGTTTAGTATTTTTTAAATGTCCATATTTAGCTCCATTTTATGGTATTTGTTTTATTTTTATTTTGCATTTAAAAAAAAAAGTTGTATTGGTATCCGGAAATCCAGTTTTACGGAACCAAATTTTGTGCTAAAATTCTGAATTTTTTTTTTTTTTAGATAAAAATTTTTTAAAGGTGTTTCTTTTTAGAAACATATAAATTAAAAACATGTAAATTTTGTATTAGGTTTTTTGAAAATTAAGTTGTTGTTCTCACACCGAATAACTGTTGGATATATGCTCAGATAGTTTGCAAACCTATGCAGATATTTTTTGATGCACATTTCTAATGTACTAGCCAAATTTCATAGAAAATAAAAACGTAGCCTAAAAAGTGTAGCCCTTTTGGTAACTAATTTTTGTTTTTCAGAGTTCGTTAGCTGCGGATAAGGGGGGGGGGGGAAATTCTATAACTTTTTTTTATTCAAAAATATTTCATTTAGATGTTTGTTGATTTTTTTTTAATCACAAGTTTATAGTTAAAAATGAAGTTGTATATTTGAAAAATCTATAACTTTATATTTAGATTTAAAATATAATTTCATATTTAACTTTAAACTTGCTAAAAAAAAAAAGTGAATTTACTAAATGGTAAATTTAAATACAGAGCATTTTAATATATTTACTTACCATAAAACATTAAAACAATAAAATATATATTACCATAAAAGTAATTGAGGTTGGCAATTTTTGCCGAGCTCAATCACATTAAGATCGGCAGTTAGGTCGGCATTGCTGAATGCTGACCTAATTGCCAATCTGAGGGTGTATATATATATATATATATATATATATATCTGAGGATATATATATATATATATATATATATATATATATATATATATATATATATATATATATATATATATATATATATATATATCTGAGGATATATATATATATATCAGGCTTGGACAGGAATAGCGTGCGATCATGCACTATTGCTGACCACGCAAATAATTTTATTACTTGACAACTCAACCACGATTGCTTATATGTTTTGATGATTTAAAAATTTCAAAAATGGGCTGAATGTAGAAACGCTAAGTTAAACTTAAACTAGGAAAAAAGTTAAAAAAACTAACGAAAAAAAAAAATTCCTAACGAAAAAAATTATTTACGAAAAAAAAATTATATAAGCACTAAAATAAAAATTAAAAATAAAAACTTGAACTCGAAGCAAAACTTTTTGTTACGTTTTTAATTACTTTTGAAATAAATCTTTTTAAACGTTTCATTTAAGTTACACAAAATGCTTTTAAATTAAGTGGCAAATTACTAAATTTAATAAATGAACAAATTTTATCAAATTTATTAAAAAGTATTGTATTTAATATTTTTAAATTGTAAACATTAATTTTTTCAAAAAAGTTGCAAAAAAAAAATTTATTTAAAAAAAAAACTTAGTCTATTATTTAAAAAAAAAACTAATTAGTCTTATTATATATTAAATAAAATAAACTGCAATTGCCAACAAGCAATTTAATTCAATTTTAATTTGATCATTACAACTTTATTAATGAGCGCTTCACATACGAATTTTATTGTATAATTCACATTTAAAAGCTAAATGTAAATGTGTAAAAACTAGTAGTCGCAAAAGGTTTTGAACTTATTCAAAAATTAAAGTAACTTTAAAAAAATCTTCCTAAAATTTTTGCTTTAAAAGATTTTTAGGAAGACATGAGAAAATAGTTTTAAACGTTTAAACTTATCATGAAAAATACATTCCTTCATAAAAAAATTTATATATAACATTTTTAATAATTTACACACGTGTTTATGTAAACAATCATTAAAAAAAAATTAATTATATGGTTTTATTTTAAAGCCTTCACTTAAAATAAAAAACTTTAGAAAAGATCAACGATTAAAGGTTATTCAACGTAACACTTTTTATTGCATTTAAATTGTTAAAACATCAAAATAGCCATGGTCAAGCTGTAAAAAAAAAAAACTATTAGCGTGGTCAGTTACAGAATGAGATCGCACGCCATTCCTGTCCAAGCCTGATATATACATATATATATATATATATATATATATATATATATATATATATATATATATATATATATATATATATATATATATATATATATATATATATATATATATATATATATATATGTATGTATATATCTTATACTGCTGAGTTAGGTGAGCATGATGATGTCATACTCACCTAATGTCAAATAGCCTGCTGCCAGGGGCTTCAGTACATACATCGACTGACAAATAGCCTGACTCGCCGTGGAGTGCTGCCAGCGCTCGAAATAATTATTTGAAGGTTGCCGATCAACACTGATCGGCAGAAATAATAAAAGTAATAAAGTAGACGATCAAAAAATTATCCAGACGATCAAATTTTTCTTAACTTTTTCTTTAATAGCGTACAGTTTAGGTGACGTCAAATTGTTTGTTTTACCGCTATCAACCTACAATAAATTGCGTTTTTAGAAAATTCTATTGATTTTGTGCAATTTTCTAAAATATCTTTACCTTAATGCCTTTTAGTACTAAAAAAATCTATTTTTAGAACACTAGCTGAACGCTATTGGTTTTGAATACAACAGCGTACGTCCGCGTTATCGTTTATAGTTTTTACTTTTAAACTTAGCTCTTAATTCACTTTTTCACTTCAACGCGTTGCCTTTTAAGTGACGTAAAAATACTTTTTGTGACTCGAACAATTGTTTTTTATATAATGATCGTTTTTTAACAAAAATGACACAATAAAAAGGTAATGAAATTTTTAACCAATATTTGATTATTAAAACTTTTTTAAACTAAAAAAAGGTGAGAAAAAATAATCTCGTTTTGCGCTATTCATTACTTGATTCGTTAGATGATGAATCCAAGTCG